GGCAGAGTGTGGTTTTGCCATTTCTTTCTCCAGCTCATTTTACAGATGAGGAAACTGAGGCAAGCACGGTTAACTGACTTTCCCAGAGTCACACAGCTTGTCTGTGTCCAAGGCCAGATTTGAACTCAGGAAGATGAGTTTTCCTGACTCCAGGCCAGGTCCTTTATCCACTGTGCCACCTTTTACTTTGGCTGTCCTTCATAACTGGAATATTATCCCTGTTCATCTCTGACCTTTACTATCCCTGTTTTCCTTCAAGACTCATCTCAAATGCCACCTTCTGTAGGGGTCCTTTCCAGATTTCCCCAGTCACTAGTGCCTTCCTCTCTAAGGCTACTTTCCATCTACTCTACTCATCTGCTGTACCTATTTATACAAATATTTCTCCTCCACTAGAATGTAAGCTCTAGTGCAGGGATGAGGCTTGTTTCTTTGTATCCCTAGAGCCCATTGATGCACCTTCCACATAGTAATTGCTTTATATAACCTTGTGACTGATTAATGGATCCAAGAGCCCATCTACACGAACCAGCACTAGAAAGAAATCCTTTTTATGACACCTCTGGCATCCAATTTCCAGTTGAGGAGCTCCAATGATGGGGAGCACACTACTTCCTGAGGCAGCCAATCCTACTCTGGGTATGACCTTGGATAAGTCACTTAACCTACCAGAGCCTCAGTTTCCTCATCGGTAGAATAAGCAGGTTGAACTAGATGGCTTTTGAGGTCCCTTCCTGCTCTAGGACTATGATCCTATGACAAGTTTTAATTGTTAAGAAATTTTTCCTTACATGAAACCTATAGCTGCCTTTCCACAACTTTAACTAACTGTTTCTAGCTTCTGCTTTCTGGGGACAAACAGAACAATACAAACACAAATTATAGTATTAATAGTAACTGGAATGTATAAAGCATGTTTAAATTTTACAAGGTACTTTACATTATCTCGTTTGATCCTGACAATGACCTTGAAAGTCAGTTGTTTTAAACTGAGGTAGCTGAGGCTCAAAGAGCTTCCATTGGCTTTCTAGGTTCAGCTTGTCCACACGCAAACAGCTGAGTTTCTTCTGATTATAAATCCATCACTCTTTCCATTAAACTACCCTGATTCTTTAATATTTTTTTTTTGTTGAACCTATGATGTCATTGGTATAGGGGACTCTAAGTGAGAATGTTCCCACTGTATTCAAACCAATGTCTCTCCCTACTCCAATTCTAGTACTTTTTCTATTATATCATACTTTCTCCTCCATGTAAGAACTTTTCAAATAGTAGAAGACTTCAATCACATCTCCCTAGTAAATCCTCTTTTCTCAATGCTAAATATCTCTAGTTCTCTTAACAAATCATTGTATGGAAGGGTCTCCAGGCCTCTCACCATCCTGGTTGCCCTTCTTTGAACTTGTTCTGATTTGTCAGTGTTCTTCCTAAAATAGACTGTCCGGGCCAGAGTACAGCAGGTCTCATTCCACATACAATTATTCTTTTAATGTAGCCTAAAAGCACGTTAGACTTGTTAGGGTTTTTTGACTGCCATATCCCATTATTGTCTCATATTGAGTTTTAAGTCATTTAAATCCTTGGATCTTAAAAAAAAGCAAGACATCTTTTTGTGTTATATCTCACTTTACAAAATCAGATTTCAAAATGTACCTCCCTTGAACCAAGAGGAAATCCTGAAGGAAAAAAAAAGGTTTATTGAGGGCAGCTACTGAGAATGCCATCTTTCAGAAAATGTATTCTCTGAATTTTTTTAGTAGTTGAAACAAGCTATATTGAACTAGTCTCTGCATTGATCAAGGACACACTTTTGTAAAATTGGGAATTGGTCAATTTAAGCCAACAAATATTTATTGATCTTTTTTATGCCACTAATCAATCAATTGACAAGCATTTAAGCTCCTACTTTATGCCAGGTGCTGTGAGAAGGCATAGGGATGTAAAGAAATAGCCCCTCCAGTCCCTGTCCTCAAGGAACTTGCATTCTATGGGAGGAAACAACATGTAAATAAGTAGATGTATATAAGATGTGCACAGAGTAGATAGAAGGTAACTTTAGAAGGGAAGGCAATAACAGCAAGGGAGGAGGGCTACCCAGAAAAGCTTCCTGCAGAATGTGGTACTTGTGCCTTCTTGAAGGGAGCCAGGGATGGTGAGAGGCAGAGGTGAGCAGGAGGAATCTTCCAGATGTGGGAACCACAGAGATGGGACCATCTCTGTGTTGTGACATACTGTATAGAGATTAGGGAAAAGTCAGAAGAGCTTTACGTTCCCCAAAGAGGCATTTGTATTTGATACCACAGGTAATAGGTAGCCATAGGAGCTTATTGAGTAAGAAGGTGTTGCAGTCAGATATATACTTTATGAAAAATCAGTTTTGCTGCATTATGAAGGATGCATTGGAGCAGGGAGAGACTCAAGGCAGGGAAACCATTCAGAAGCTATTGGAATACCCCACAAGAAGGTGATGAGGGCCTGGATTACAGTGGTAGCTGTGTGAGTGAAGAGGAGACACATCTAAGAGGTGTTATAAAGAAATTATGTTAAGTGCTAAGGACCATTCAAAGAAAAAAAACCATGGTTCCCTGCCCTCAAGCAATTCACAAATAGAAGAGATATGATATGTATACAAATATAATACAAAGTAGAATAAGGCAAGTGCATAAGAGTTGTACAAACATATACTATGTATAATTCTTCAGAGGGAGAAGATTTCTCTTTTGTCCTGGTAAAGTAGGGAAGGTTTCACAGAAGAGGTGGCTTTTGATCTGGGACTTAGATGATTTGGATCATAACATGTAGACACAGAGGGAATAGGACCATCTGTCATGGGGTCAGGAAACTATGAGAAATATTAGAAAAATAGCAAGCATGGTTAGGGGTACAGTCTGTGGTTTGGAATAGGGCTCAGTCTGTGGCTGAGATTAGGAGTTAGTCAATGGTTCAGGACTGTGCAAATTTATCTGACACACTTGAAGATTATCCTTGTGACCTTCACCTCATTAAGACAAGGTTATACAGTGAAAGGATGATACATATGTTGTCAGAGGACCTGCATTCAAATCTTGCCTCTGTCACTACCTCTGAGACTTTGGGCAAGACATTTGACTTCTCTAGGCCTGAGTTTCCTCATCTGCAAAATGAAGATGCTGAACTAAATGGCATTTGAGGTCCCTTTTTGGCTCTAGAGTCGTGACCCTATGACTCCTGGATCCCAAACTTGAACTTGGGGGGAAGGAAATATTTGGTGGGCTCGATTTGTTTGGACAATTTACATTCACCCAATAATTGTGAAGCTTCTCTTGAACTGACAGGAGAATTGATATAGCAATAATATGTAAATTTTAGACATGGTCATAAGATCATTTGAAATTAAAAGAACTTTCATCAATCAACAAACATTTCTTAAGCAGCTGTTATGTACAAAGAACTGTGCTAAGTGGAGATCTCAGAGATCACCTACAGTTTTCAGACTGGGCAGATAAGAGTCACAGTCAGAGTTGAAGTTTTGCTTTCTGTAATGCTGTTGCTCCTGTAATAATCCATAAATGGTAGGGGGAAATATTTTCACTGCCCTCTGGGAGGGCACCCAAGGGCTTTCCAGCCCTGTCCCTCTTTGCCCCTCTGAGGGGCTGGAAGGACAAAGGGTATCACTGATGTTCTCCTATGTTAATTTACTTTATTGATGGGTTTTATTTACATCCACTTATTTAAAATGAGACCTTAGTCCAAATGAATGAGAATTTAGATAAATGTGGTGCCATATGGGCTGATTTGTTTAGCTATATATGACTAAATAGTAGCGTGTGGAATGCAGTGTGAGTCACACCGTGTGCATATTCTGCTCACACAGGATTTGAATGCAGACAAGGAGCTGCATCCAAATAGATTTCATTTTCTCAGTTCCTTCCCCTGAAAAATAATAAACTGCAACATTGGAAAAAGAGTATTTCTTTAGTTATCTCCATAAGCCTTTGCCAAATATGCATATGATAATATATTTTCCATCTTGCCTAGCCAGCACTTAAACGCAGCATTATAACACTGTACCATCAAGCAGCCTGTGAGATGAGCAGAGGAAACATGAGGGTTTAAAGTAATTTAACTCTTTAAGGAATATTTTGGGGCTACAGAAGGGAATGTGCTGAAGAAGAGGCCAGCCCTTCTTTATTCTGTGTTGTTGCTTTGGATGCATATTTCAAGGAAGACACTGACACAGCCCAAGGATCCACTGTGATTAGTAAAAGTACATTTCCACATAGATATTTTTTATGGCCAACCATAAATGTCAATGGGTAGTGACTGTTCCCAGCCAAAAGCCTTCTGTGTTGTCGTTTAATTTGGGATATACACATTTGGAGCAGTACAGGTGCATTTGGTAATAATACTTAGCTCTTTCTATCTCCTGAGCACTTTGCAAACATTAACTAATAATGCACTGTGGGCTGCCTTTGGGGAAGAGCAAACCCTCCCAGAGCCATGAACCCCATTATCCACTTTTTGAGATGGTTAAACAAGTTCTCCTTTCCCTATGCTGTAGGGGAATGGCCAATATAGAAGGGGTTTGCAGAACTCTCTTAGGGCAGAAGGCCTAGGATCGGCCAGCAGAGGGACGGAAAATTCTTCTTCCACCTTTCTTTCTCTTTTTCAGGTTTCTCCTCCTTCCAAGTGTCACCTGTTCGTTTCTCCTCTTCCTTTTCCCTTTCTTTTCTCTTTTAATATTTCCTGCTGTCCTCGGTTTTCTTCTCTCTCATCTGTCTTATCTCCTTCCCCCCCCCCCCGTCTTTCTTCTTGTCTCTCCTGGAGGTGAGGGGGGGATCCTAAGATGAGGTGTCCGTGTGTATGTAATATTAGTTGTAGCGCGTGAGTGTGTTTGTGTGAGTGTGCGTGCGTGCGTGCGTGTTTGGGAGGCGGTGCGGTGCGGGCCGGGCGCGGGACTGTCTCTTTAAATCACCCTCCTCCCGGGCCACCTCCCTCCTCTTCTCTCCTCCTCCCGCCGCGGTGCAGCCGCCGGTGCTGGGCGAGGTCGGAGAAAGTCCATGTGAGGAGGGAGCCAGCGGAAATCACTTCCTGCTGCCGCCGCCGCCGCCGCCGCAGCGGCCGGGACCGACTCGCTGGGGAGTGAAGGGGAGAACGGAGGAAGGAAAGGACCAGTCTAGGGGTGGGGGGACGCGGCTGCCACTGCAGGCCACGGTGAAGCCCCTGGCCCCGGAGTCCCCGAGCTGGCGTCAGGGGTGCGTAAAGCTGCCTGCAGGTAAGACCTGGGGCCACCAACTTCTGTGCGTTCGCGTCAGTGCGGCCAGCTGTGGGGGAAGGGCGGAGGGGGGAACAGATCAACTTGTTTACATCTGGAGGGTGCCCCCACCCGCTTTCCTGTTCCAGCTGTGCCCCGAGAAGGGAAGATGATGGTGGGGAAGTCTGGGTCCCGACACTTCCTTTACATTCCTTCCCAACCTCAGCTGTCCCACCTTCCCCATCCCCCGCTCCCATAGGCTTAGACCCTCTAGAACCACGGTGTGGACGAGAGGAGTGAGTGCCCGCAGGCCCTTTCCAGCTGTGTTCCCGCAGTGGGAGAACGAGGTGTCTGTCCCCTTCACCAGCTGTGCCGTGGTAAAGGTGTGTGTGTGGGGGGGGGAGGCTGAATGCCCTCCAGATGTGCCCTGGGAAGGGAGTTCTGCTCTTACAGCTGTGCCTGACACCCCCCAACACACACACACACACACACACACACACACACGCTCGTGCATTCCTCACTCCAGTTGTGCTCCCTTTAACTGTTTCCTCAGAAAGTGGAGGGTTTCTAGTTTTTAGCCCCCTTTTCGCTAAGGGTTTTTTCTTTCCCCTATTTAGCCTCTAGCCTCTTGCTTGCTATGCCCAGGGGATGATTGTATGCCTTGGCCATTCTTCCCACAAACCCCTTCTTAGCTGTCTCTATTCGCAATTTTATTCTCAAATTGTGCACAACTTATCTAGAGTAGGGGAAGGGGCGGGAGGTGGGGGGGGCGGGAGAGGAGTGATTCAGGTTTAGTTCCTCTCTGCACTATTGCAGGGGATTAAACAGGCTACTACTAGGTTTGCTGTTGGCTCCTGGCTCTTCGCAATCATTCGTGTCCCCCCCTTTTAAAAAAATTTTTTTGACTACTCAGACATTGCATATTCTAGTCAAGTCTGATTAGATATCACAGCTCTTCTAGTCCCTTTATCACTGTGAGATGGGCTGGGGGAGGGGTGATTTAATCATTTGGGGAAACTGTTGCTGCTAACCAGTTATCCCACCACCACCTCTACCTTCAGACTAGACCATCCCTATTCTCTCTATGTATTTTGATTCTTTTTGGATTTCTTGAGAAAGTTTAAATAATACCTACAGCTCCTGTATTTGCTAAGGATGGAAGGAGTAAATGCCCTTGAGTCCAATGTTGTCTAACTAGCTAAGACTCAATTATTGGTTTGTTTTTCATTAAAATGTTGCTCTGGGATGGGGCAAAAGAGAAGGGAAAGTCACAGAGGGTGTCCCCTTCTTGTTAAATGTTTCCTGGACTTGTTTAAAGTCCGACAGTCTCTTTTGTTTATGGAAGGGAGGGAGGGAGGGAGGGAGAGAGGGAGAGAGAGAGAGCATGACTGGTCTGGGGGTGTGCTTCTTAAAAAGTCATCAATTCCCGCAGTGAGGGCCGGACTTAAGCCAGATGCATTCCGGCAGCAGTGAAGACCAAATCCTGTCAGATGCAGGCTATTGCCTTCTCTGCTGCAGGATCTGGGACTGTGTTATTGATTCTGTGTTCTCTGCCCTAGGGTTTTCCTTCACTAGTTGGGCTGTGGGGAACAGGCATCTGCAAATAAACCCTTTGGAATCTGCCTAGGAAGTCCTGATGTTTGTGGGATGTTAAGTTGAGTAGGCCCAGGACGGCTGGCATGTTTTCCAGCAGAGGAGGCATTGGGAGCAAAGCAGCATGCAGGGATTGGGGATCTGAGCCTAGTGATCAGAAAGAATCCCTCCCTTTCTCCACTGACCATTGTGAACCCATAAATGTCTTTGTCTTCAGGCTGGGGGAGTCCTAAAAGTTGTAGCCCTGAGTGTTAAGCACTTTCCCTGAGGAATGTGCAGAGATGATGAGAGAATGGAAACCTCCATTCTGGGGCCTGTACATAAGGTCCAAAGCAGCCTTCCTCTCTTGCCAGAGCTGTACCTCTTTCTGTGGCCTTTGGAAGCCATACTGAGCCCAGCTGATAACTGCATATTCCTGCAGCTGAGCTCTGTGTTGTGCATTGGCTGAGGTGGGCAGCTAGCTTAGATGATGGGCCAATAAGACCAGGGTCATGTTTGATTTTTTTTTGGGGGGGGAACTGGGGTTAGTGTTTAGTGCCACTCTTCCCGTTGGTTACAGAATAAGTTAGGGGTGTACACCTTAATTGTAGAGCAGTAGTTTAAACAGTTTATGTAAATGACAGATCTCCCTTTTTAAAATTTATTTTTTTAAAGGCTCATAACCAACTTTTTTCTAGATCTGTGTGGTGGGTTTTCTTTTACTGACTTCTAACCAATATGCGCCCAGTTTGTATTAAAAATTTTTAATGTAAAAAAATAAATACAGATGATCAATGTGTGTTATAAAGGAATGGTGATGGAGGGGTAGTGGTAGTAACTGAATGCTTAAATATCTGCTTTTTAAGATAATCCCGTAAACTGAGTTGGTATAAATGTTTTACAGGGTCTTCTATGGTGCTGGACCTGGGCTAAGGTGAAGTCATGCCGATGGCCAATGATAACAAAATAAAGCCGAGACATACATAATACTAAATACTTTTTTGAGATGATGCATATTGATTGCTTTGCAAACCTTAAAGCTATATATATACATCAACTTTTATTATCCAGAGAAGCAGCTTTTCCATAGTGAAAAGAGAGCTGACCTTGGAGCCAGTTCTACGGCTGGGTGACCCTAAGCAAGTCATTTAACTGCTGCTTTAGGCAGCTCTCTTAAGACTAAGTTACAGAGAATGTGCCAACCCACAAAGATTGAGCAAGTTCTCCCCCCAGAAATTCTCAGCACTAATTAAATCAGGTCTAGTCCCTATCCTATTCTTTGTATCATTTCATTTGATCCTCACTACAACTCTGATTTAAGTGTTACAGGCACTTGTATAGATGAAGAAACTGTCAAGGAATCCAACAGAAATGAAAACACAGGGGATGGGGAAGATCTGAAGTGGGGTGGACATGGGAAGAATTAATTGACTGGTCAGTGGCTTGTTCCTCAGATGAATAATCCACCTCTCTAGTTCGTTCCACAATAATAGACAAAAAGACATGGGATCTAATCAGACTGAACCAAAATACTCAACTCTATCCAAGGATTTAAAAGGAAGGGGGTGGGGGAAGTCTCAAGAGGTTAACTGACCTGCCTGCCGCCAATATTAGGGCCACACAAATTAGGAAGTTCATTAGTATATAGCAGGGGTAGAATTTAAACCCTGGTCTTGTGACTTGAGACTGTGCTATAGAGCAGAGGTGTCAAACATGCAGCCCAAGATATTTCTGAGTCCTGAACCACATTAAAATGTAATTAGGAAATATTTAACAAAATTAAAATACAATAAAACATAGATTATATCATGTTTTAAAAACCATGTCCATATGCAGCCCACAGGCATTATGCATGGTTTAGAGGCCCTCAGTTTTTATTTGTGTCTGACACCACTGGTCTAGAGGACAAAACATGGGAATGGTATACCTTTCTTGCTATGGGAATGTTAATTTGCCCCCAGGCTACCGAAGTCTCTGGTGTTAGGGTTATAAGGTTTCATGTCAGGTGGAATCTTTTTGTACCTGTTCATTCTTTCAATTTTCAGTTCACTTCTGTGATGAAGTGGAGAGAGCACTGGATATGGAATTGGAGGGACTGACTTCTAATCCTTGTTCTAGTTTTTCCCCTTCCGACTTTGGACACATCATTTTTACTACTGAGCCTTTGTTTCTTCATAGATAAAATGAGGGGAATTGCTCTAATGAATTCAAAGGCCTCTAAATCAATCTGTGATCCTATTATCTTTTAAAGTCTATTCAATCTCTAAATTCAATATTCCTAGATTCCTTCCTAGTCCTTTACTCCCATGTAAAGTTCACAGAAAAAGGGAGTAAACAGTCATTTTAGATTTAGACAATAGGTTTTTGGGGCTGTGGGTTTGGGGGAAAGAGAGAGGGGTGGGGATGGGGTTATGTATTGCCCAATGGGGAAAAGGGATGGCTTTTGTGGTGTGATTTGCTTAAAGCCAACCAGAAAGAAAACATTAGAGGAAGTGGCAGCCTTGTTGTGGTGTTTAAATGCTACACAATGTTGCAGTAGGGTTTTAAATACACGGTAACAATGGAACTTTGTTACCCTTGTAACAAAGTGTGTTCATAGACCGATTTTATCTGAAGTCTGAACACCAAAGGCATTTCTTCTGGGAGCCTGGAGGACTCCAGTGATAAGGATGCCTCCTGATAGACTCAAGGTCAATCGCTTCTTGGAGGAAGCTGAGTAGAGAACCCACCCTGGTGCCTTGTTTCCTTCCCTTTGTTACCACTAGAAGCACATTCCAAATCTAGTCACCCAGTTGCCTTGTACCACTGGATACTGTGGGTTTTTTAAGTTGCAGAAGCTAAGGGAGGCGTTGGCAAACCTACTTAAAGATAAAACATACTACTGGTATCAGATTTGGGTGGAACTGACCTTAACGAATCCTAGCCCAAACTAATTTAAATTAAATGAGCACTCACTTAATGCCTGCCGTGTGCAGACTTTTTAGGGGTAGGACTGAGGAAAAGATAAGATTTGGTCCTTGTTTTCATAAGCAAGAATCTCTTGGGGGAGGGGGAACAAATTACTACTGGGAAGAGAACTTCTTCCTCACCTCCCTCCACTATAGAACACACAAGTATCTTGCAAGGTCCTATCAGCCTGGGTTCCATATCGCAACTACCAGTCCCTCTGATTAGACCCATGAACTCTAAAACCTCCATTTAAGGTGGGGGGGGGGCTTGGCTCAAAACATCTTATTTTTCACCTGGCTGCTCTACTTTGAGACTTCTATGACTTTTTTTTCATCATGCCTACGGTGGGGTACCTTCCCTTCAGCCTCCTTTGCCTTTTGTGCGTTGCCTTCCACTAAACTGTAAGCTCCTTAAGGTCAGGGACTGATTTTCTTTTTTCTTATTTGTATTTCTAGCACTTAGCATAGTGCCTGGCACTTAGTAGGTACTTGATAAATGTT